TTCACTGTCAGCTGTACTACCCGGAAGTAGTATATCCGTAGCGCCACCTACGGGAATCATGTCGCGATAACTCTGATCGCGGAACCGAGCCATTAAAACGGACTTCTTCTCACTCACTCATTTGTGTCCTTTTTTGTGGTGAGCTACAGTGTCATTAACACTTTCATTTTCTTATAATTTTGACAGAAAGAACGTTTGTGAACTTTTATGAGACCAGATTTGTTTGTTAGATTGTTGTGGAAAATGCGATTCTTTTAACCAAATACGGGACTTTGAAACTGCTATAATGGCATATTTTAGAGGTACTAACCTACTTCTCCAGTGAACAAACCGCTCTCTCTCAACTTTGGCAGAATTAGGTTGAAAAACTCTCGGGTCAGACCACCTGTGTCGATGCCTGCTTCACCAACGAAATACACGTTGACTTTGTTGTTGGCTTTGATCCTGTCACCTGAAACAAAACAAAATTATTAAATTCCCAATTAAACTGTTATTTCCCTCAAAACTTTTCTCTGAGTTGTTGGCAAAAATTAAATTAAATATTATTCAAAATGAAAATAACATGAATGGTACAGTATCTATATCGGCTGGCATTCCAGCATTTTTTAATAAAACAGGTAACTCAAAACTTAATCTCTAAAGGTGCAATGGCCCTGTACATTGTAATCATTCGGGAGAGTTTATGCAAACATATTTAACAAACTTCCTTTTTTGACTTCTTATAAAGAGCTACATTCTTCTATTTAAAAAAAGTAGCACTTTACCTCTAAAGGCACGTCTGCCATCCTCTAACAAGTACTGCCTCCTGACCATAATCCTGATTGGTACACCTTCTTCATCTAACATGCTCCTCCACTCTGCCATCTGTTCCTTTAAGTCCGTGTCAGACCTTTTAGTGCATTGAAATAAATGCTTTTGATGTTCATCCATTATTTTTGTTCAATAAAAAAAAGTGTCTCGATATAATGTGCAAAGTAAGCAAGAATTTGCAGTACATCATGTCTAGATAAAACAAATTAACAAAACCGAAGATATGTGGAAAGAGGGCATTTACAGGAGTAGAATTTTCGATGGCTCCATTTGTTAAGACACCATGCAAACACCATTAATGTCCTGTCCGGTTTGGTCAAAATCCGTTCGTTAGTTCTTGTCTTCTTGAGCAGATAAATGACTGTCAATACGCAAAGTCCTGAGTACATAAATTTCTATTATATGGGGATTAATTTGGGGGTGCCCTTTGAGGGCAGGGCCACAATTTTAACAACTGCAAGTCCCAAATGTGCACAGCTCTTGAAAAGAAGATATAACTTTAGTAGGTATATGGGGTTCCATTAGCTACAAAGTATTTACATGGGGACATCCCCCTCTTGAGGGAAAGGGCCACCATTTTAACAAAGTTTGGTCCATATAGGATCAGGGAGCAATTAAGGGCAATTAAATGGAGCGAATTTTTAAAATCAACATTTCTCCCCCTTTATCGTTTAATGAGTTTTATTTTGGCAATTACAAATAGTTACATGCTCATGCTAATTAATTAAATAACTTAACTGATTACGCATGAGCGTATTTTTGAGCCCATCATTATTTTATGCATCACCATGACAATAAAGTCAATACAGGTAGAAGACAATAATTTTAATTTTTAATCTTATCTTATTGTATTTACTTTTAATATATCTTTCTTAATACCTATTGTCTCGTGGGTCACATATACTTACAGAGTTGTCACTGCATATTCTTGCACACTTAATAATTCCTCCAGTTCTTCGTCATCATTGCTGTCATGACCTCCTTCCTCATAGATCGCATCAAGGTAGGCTCTGATAAAATGGATAAAATATAAAAAATTATATATAGTTTGGGGAAAAAAAGGAATCACAAAGATGAGAAACTGCATTCTAAATATCATTAATTATGTGTAGAATCAAATTATATAATATACTTTAGAAGCTAAACCTTGCTTTACAGACGATAACAACAACGTATCCAATGGAATACACACTTATATGTACTACCGGTACATACGGTAAATATTGTCGAAGTCTTGGCAATAGACAAACATGAATGTGTATTATAAGATCTCTCTAAACTGAACTTTCCACGCTGTAACCACGTTGCACGGTCGCATCAATGATGCCAACATGGCCGCCTTTGTTTTGATGACGTCACGTGCAAGGGGTCTATATATTGTTTACAACTGATACAGGGCTACGCGTGTAATGTTCTATTGTTGAGGTATCGTTTTGGCGGGAAGGAGCACTCTCTGGATTCTAGGAATAAAGGTGGTGGTTGAGTTTCACATATCTGCGTCCTCTAATTTATTGGAGTAAGAGTGATGTGAGGTAAAAATATCTACTCTAATTCATGCACTAAGAGAGATACAACACTGGCGACGAGGAAAATACTATTTTGGTGAAGGAAATTATCTGGAATGGAGATAAATAAGATACCGACGTTTGACTGCTACTCTGACCCGGCTACGTGCGGTCCACGCTGGATGCGATGGCTAACAGTGTTCGAACTGTATGCTGATGGGAAAGGTCTTATCGTTAACGAAGATACGGACAATACTACGAAGCAAAGGAGAAGAGCATTGTTACTTCACTCTGCCGGACTTGATGTGCAGGACGTGTTTTCTACATTACCAGCCACCGGAGGAGTCACGGACTATGTTACAGCAGTGACGGCATTGAACACTTATTTCGTGCCCCAAGTAAATTCAGCGTTTGCGAGACAGACATTTCACCGGATCACTCAGAAACCAGGTGAGACTGTGCAACAATTTGTCACACGTTTGAGGAAGGCGGCGAGAGACTGTAATTTTGGCAGCGATATTGAGAATCAGATCAGAGACAGTGTGCTGAGCAAGTGCTCGTCGGATTACGTTAGGAGGAAGCTGCTGGAAGAAGGCCAGGCATTGACATTAGGCCGTGCCATACAAGTGGCAGACCAGTGCGAGATGGTGGAGGGCCAAATGGCGGCACTTTCGACGGCAAATAGCGGCGAAACTGTCAACAGAATCGGTGAGAGGAGTGGACACTGGAAGCCACAACAACGGAGAGCATGGAGTAAATCCGATAATAAGACTGTTACTGTTAATAGAGATAAGGCTTGTTATAGATGCGGATTAACTGGTCATTTTGGGAGCGATCCGAAATGTCCAGCAAAAGGTCAGTCATGTAGGAAGTGCAAAGGGAAAGATCATTTTGCTAAAGTGTGTAGGACAAAGTCTAGGTCGGGGGTAAATTTAGTTAGTGAAAGTCCTAATGACCCCTGTAATTCAGATTATGCATTCACTGTGTCTGGTTGTAAATCAAGTATGCTTACGACATGTGTTGGTGGTGCGGATTTAGCAATGTTGGTGGATTCAGGTGCGACCAGTAACATCGTCGATGAGGAAACCTGGGAGGAATTAAAATCTAGAAAGATAAAGTGCAAGTCTGTGGCTAGTACTACAGTGAGGAAACTGTTCCCCTATGGCTCTGATAAACCATTGCCAGTAAAGGGAAGGTTTGACTGTGTTATTCAGGCCGGGGGAAAAGTCGCTGAAGCTGAGTTCCTGGTAATTAAAGGGAAAGGTGTACCGTTGCTTGGTAGAGATACGGCGACGAAGTTAGGTGTCCTGAAAATTGGCATTGAGATTGCAGCACTAAGCGATGTAGCCAGTGATATCCAACGACTGTATCCGGATGTGTTCCACGGTGTTGGAAAATTGAAAACTAGGCAAGTAATTATCCACATTGATCACACTGTACCGCCAGTAGCACAACCCTTGAGGCGAACCCCATTCAATTTGAGGGATAAGGTAGATGGAAAGATAAAAGAATTACTGGATCTAGACATCATTGAACCAGTCGATGGTCCCACACCTTGGGTAAATCCAGTCGTAGTCGTCCCGAAAGCGGCAGGTGACATAAGGCTGTGTCTTGATATGCGTAGAGCAAATGAGGCAGTTATTCGTGGCAGATACCCCATACCCACCGTGGATAAACTGCTGCAAAATATGAATGGGTCAAAAGTGTTCAGCAGATTAGATTTAAAGTGGGGTTATCACCAGTTGGAGCTGTCTCCAGAGTGTTGCGAAATCACCACATTCGCCACTCATTCAGGGCTGTATCGCTATAAAAGATGATTGTTTGGTGTATGTTCCGCCAGCGAGCAATATCAACACGAGATAGCAACAGCGTTAGCAGGCATCGAGGGTGTGGGAAATATCTCTGACGATATCATAGTGCATGGACCTAATAAAGAAACACATGATAGACAGCTACATGCAGTTATGAAACGGCTGCAGTCCAGCGGACTAACACTGAATCCCGACAAATGTCAATTTGATATGGATCAGCTTGTATTCATGGGGATACTACTATCCGAGAAGGGTATAGGTCCTACTGAGGACAGGGTAAAAGCTGTGATGGAAGCGCGAGAGCCAGCGAGTGCATCAGAGGTGCGAAGCTTTTTAGGTCTAGTGTGTTATAGTGGCAAGTTTATACCGCAGTTCGCGACCATTTCTGAGCCACTGAGGAAACTGACTCGTAAGGATGTACCATTCAACTTTGGTCCCGAGCAGAAAGCATCATTCCAGGCTTTGAAGGACATTCTCGCTAAAGCAATAACGTTGGCTTACTTTGATAAAGATGCCCCCACTAAGGTGATAGCTGATGCTAGTCCAGTTTGTCTAGGTGCTGTGCTAGTACAGGAACATAATGGGAAGTTCGTACCAGTATGTTATGCGAGTCGTAGTTTGAGCGACTGTGAACGTAGATATTCACAGACAGAGCGTGAAGCGCTGGGTCTAGTTTGGGCATGCGAGAGATTTCATGCGTACATATATGGTATGGAATTTGATTTAGTGACGGATCATAAACCATTAGAGGCTATCTACAGCCCGCGTTCCCAGCCGTGTGCGCGAATTGAAAGATGGGTGCTACGTCTCCAACCGTATACGTTCAAAGTAGTGTATGTACCAGGACCAAAGAATATAGCAGATTCATTGTCACGCCTTCTAAGTGGTAAGGCCAGTGCACCAGGGCATGTACATGGTGCAGAGGAATATGTGCGGTTTGTTGCCAGCAATGCGACACCAAGAGCGTTAACTACACGTGAGGTAGAACAAATGTCCGCAGCTGACGACGAACTAATCGTATTACGAGAAGCAATAAAGACGGGTCGATTTGAGAAATGCAAAGCGTTTGCACCAATAGTGGCAGAATTATGCGTGATTGGACAGTTGGTGCTACGAGGTACTCGTATTGTATTACCAAGTAAGTTACGACCACAAGTGCTAGCTTTGGCACACGAAGGGAATTTAGGTGTGGTCGGGACAAAACAGAATCTAAGAAGCAAAGTGTGGTGGCCAGGCATGGATAGAGCTGCCGATAAGTATTGTAGATCGTGTCATGGTTGTCAGTTAGTCGCGGATGGACCCTGGCAGGATGTCGCTATCGACTAGCTGGGACCATTTCCATCGGGACATTCGATACTTGTCGTAGTTGACTACTATAGTCGGTTCTATGAATACGATATCCTAAACTCTACCCTGGCTGTAAAGATAATCGATAGTTTGGAGGAGATATTCAGTCGTCATAGACTCCCTATCACTATCAAGTCAGATAACGGATCTCAGTTTCGTTCTGAAGAGTTCCTGGAGTATTGTGATTAAAATCGGATCACGGCCCTCAAGGTTACTGCAAAATGGGCGCAAGCAAATAGCGAGGTAGAACGCCAGAATAAGTTGCTGATGACAAAAATTCGTATCGCTCAGGCAGAAGGGTTAGACTGGAAAAGGGAACTCAGGAAGTATGTGACGAAATACCGTGGCATTGACCATCATACTACAGGGAGAAGTCCAGCTGAACTCTTGTTTAATCGTAAAGTGAGAGGGAAATTACCAGATTTCCAGGCAGACAGTCGTATGTGTGTGTGAAGTTATGTATTATCATAAGTGAGATGGTAGGCCTACATGTATGAAAAAAAGTACCAAAAATATTTCTGTAATCACACTCACTGATACGATGAACAGGCTGTAGTAAAGCTTGCAGTGCTTTGATCAGATGCAGTCCCACAGCTCCGAGTGGAGCGAGGATGAGCTGATGGTGAAGGGCTTGTAGTGCTGCTGAGGCTTACAGCAGGTAAATTATCATCATCAGTGTTGGCCTACACGTAGCGACCAAAAATATGTTTTTAATGAACAAGGCAAACCCTCTCAAAACACAAGTGAAATATTCCTATTGATTTTACACACAGCAGGTGCCCTTAATAAGGTAATCAAGGTTGCCTGTGGAACAACCCAAATTACACAAATTGTAATATTTGGTTCAACCATTTGGTTAAATACTGTATCATACGGGCAAATCATGGTATCGAAGTTCATCATGCAACATATACCAGCTGGCAAGTTGATGTCTTTGTGGTGAACTTTTAATTTTTGATGGTTTAAACGTTAATCGCATTACTTCATCGATCTTGTCTGGGAACCAGAAATTGTGCTAACGTAATGTGTTAATCTTCCCCTCCCAAATCCCAGCTTGTGCACACCCATGAAAAAGTCTGCATTTTATTCATCTTGAAGTCAACGAGAAGCAAATAAATTACATTAAGTATTACATGCATACATCAAAGGTTTTAGTGTCGAGGGCCAAGATTCTACAGGGAATGACTTTAATATCAAAGTGGTTTTTTTCAATTTGATGCTAAATGTAAATCTTTTATAAGTTAAATGCAATGTAAGTAATTATCTAATTAAGACGTGAACTCACTAGATTCTTGACAGGCGTTTGCTTAGTTTGGATGTACAGCTTGCCCTGCCCACAAATGCTGAGCACCTCTTCTCCACTGAATGTAATCGACTGGCTTACCCTCGGCTCTGTCAGCCACTTGCTGCCCGGGAGCATCTGAAAAGAACAATTGAAACAGCAATATACTTCATGTACTCATGAAATCTGGGCGAATTCACAGTCCCTTGAAAGTCCAACTAAATTTATAATCTAAGGACCTACACATTCTTGACCTTCAGGCTTCACAAGATGAAGCCAATTTTCTAATGAGCAAAACACCATGATTTATTTTTCCAAGTTCCAGTAACTAGTTTATACTATTTCCAGTTCTCAATCCATAGCCCGCTATTGTTGCTAATATATCACTTGCTAAGCTGTGCTATTGTTGACTATTATCACAAAACAGTGCTTCACTTGTATTTTACACTGTCTAATATAATTGTCTGCCCACACGCATACATGTGCACATATTACAGAATGGTGTATTGTATCACACATTAACATTTGTTAATCGAAAATCCTCCTTCCTGTTCAGTTATGATGAGAGGAGGGATTATGCTATTTATGACCCTTGAAGGATTTTTGCATGCACCAGCCATTACATTAATTCAATGCTGAACAAGGGATTAGCTTCCTCCACCTCATCAGCAGACATGATTTACCTTAAGGTATTTGAATTCTAGATCTGGGATGGTTTCCCAGAAACATGACTGTATGTCTGCCTCCACCTCATCAGCAGACATGTCTTTAGACAACTTCACGTTGCCAGTCAGCCCACTGATGGTAAATTCCGTCATCTTGGATGGCGTTGGTACATGAATTGTTCCATTCCCTTGTACAGTTGGATTCACCATGCACACAACCATCTTTGTGATAGCCTTGCTTGAGGGGAAGCGCTTCTTCTTGGAAGGCTGGGCAGCAACAGCAGCAGAACGCTGCTTCTTCTTCTGTGGCTTCTTTGTGAACAGAGATGGCCGCATAACTGATGGCTGGAGAAAAAAAAATTTCTTTATTAAATGAATTGGTGTTTTTGTAGTCTAATTATCATTTTATCTACTACTCATTGATCTAATCCATTTCATCTAAGTAATGTAGTGTAACAATTTCATTTAATTTTCCTTGATCATTTATGAAAGATATTGACTAGTCTTGGTTGAAACTACAGAATAAGAATGCCATGGATTCTGCCATGATTCAATGTGCCGCTCGATACATAAGATTATTTCAGCATCTTGGAAAAAACTTCACCATTTAACCACTGAAAGAAAGAAGCAAATAGATATTGCTTCAGCGCAATCTTCAGCAAACATCTAACACTACATATGGGACCGTAATCATTGTTCTATGCGACACGGGCCGCGCACCTAGCCCATATATATATATATATATATATATATATATATATATATTATATATATATATTTATATAATATGGTAGCGGGCTATAGCTGCTAGCAGAAATATTTGGCGCAGCTTCTCAGTTGTGATGTTCAACACACTTGGTAAACCAGGTTGGCCAATTTTGAGACAGAAAACACTTAATATTTCCGAATTTCGTCAATATTGTACTAAACTATTTTAACATCTAATATTAATGTTGATTCATATTTCAAGCCATTACTCTGTAAAAGAAGGAATCTTAGGAAAGAAATGAATCTTATATTAGCCAAAATTCATCTTTATTTTTAAACAATGCATGGTTATTAGATTTTTACAACATATACATAAATTTATGTAATAATAATTAGATTAAATATTTAATAAACATAAGGTCATTATAGACATACATTATACATTTGTTCGCAAATGCAGACGTTATAACTCCGCTTTGCTAATCTGAGGGTGCGGGTTTATTACCCATTACTGGGGCCTGCGTCAGCTTGGTCTAATTATACATACATCTTCTCAATTCCCCAAAACAGCAAATGCTGCTGACATGCTAAAAAGAGGGTGAAGGCAGGAAGTATGACCATTTTGTTTGTTACATTTTGTTTGTTACATTTTGCATAGAAATGCTACTGCTTGAAAATTCCAAGTATATATTCATTTTGAAAATTTATAATTTTACTTACCTGATCAGCAAAATCATCATCAGAACTGTAGACTGTGTGTGTCGACGGGCCAGCACCATCTGACGACGGGCCAGCACCATCTGACGACGGGCCAACACCAGCTGACGTCGGGCCTGCACCATCTGACGATGGGCCAGCACCATCTGACGACGGGCCAGCACCAGCTGACGACGGGCCAGCAGATGGAGATAAAATCTTAAAAAGAAAAGAATGGGCATGCATACCTACATAATGACAATTGGAAAAATATTATAAAACATATACATATAATCGGAATAACAGAA